CTAGATTTATAGGTGACAAAGACTGGAAGATAAAACTGATATGCGAGATGGCACGCACACACACTCACACAGAGCTTGAAAAGATGAGCTGAAATCAACAATACAAATTTTAAGAGGATGACAGTGAAGTTCCGCATTTTAAGTCTCAAAGAAATGGCAACATATGGGCAGGCTGGAGGAGACTTAGCATGATGCTATTCTTATGAAAATGGTGGTTTTGGTTCCCTAAGCTCAATGTCAACCAGAGGCATTGCAGTGGCTAAAAATTTAAAGCAACTTCATACTGAATTGTTGGAAGTACTAAGTACAGAGAAAAGAGGTGATCGTGTCACTATGTTTTGTAGGGGACAAACTGCATTTGAGTATCATTTTCCCCTCAGGTAAGAGGGTCATTGCAAACAGGACTCTGTTTAGTGGAGGGTTCCCTAGGTCGCCATTACTCAAATTCTAGTCTGCACTGTTCCTAATCTGCAATGAGATGAGCACAGAAATTGTGAGTATTTAGAAACTTTTATAGCAATTTGACAGTAATTTTATGTTTAATAAATCTAATAAAAAAGAAAATGAGCTTTGTATTGTATGTCTTTGTTTCCATATTTTTTTTTTTTTTTGCTTGATACTTTTCCTTTATTTTTAATTTTATTTTAATAGACTTTATTTTTTAGGGCAGTTTTAGTTTTATAGAAAAATTGAGCAGAAGGTACAGAGAGCTCCCTTTCCCCTTGCTCCCCATTTCCTTTATTGTCAACATCTTGTATTAGTGTAGTAAAATTGATGAACCAATATCGATACATTATTATTGACTAAAGTTCATAGTTTATGTTAGGGTTTACTCTTTGTGTTGATTAGTTCTGTGGATTTTGACAAAGGCATAATGTCACATATCCACCATTATAGTATCATACAGAGTAGTTTTACTGCTGTAAAGATGTCTTGTGCTCCACCTATTCATCCTTTACCCCTGCCCCCACCTTCCGAATCCCCAGCAACCACTGATCTTTTTACTGTTTCTGTAGTTTTGCCTTTTCAAGAATATCATATAGTTGGAACCAGCCTCTTCAGACTGGCTTCTTTTACTTAGCAGTCTACATTAAGGCTTTTCCATGTCTTTTTGTGCCTTAATAGTTCACTTCTTTTTATTGCCAATAATATTCCACTGTGGTCATACCACAGTTTATTCATTCACCTATTAAAGGACAGACATCTTTGTTGCTTCCAATTTTGGGCAATTATGAATAAAGCTGCAATAAACGTTCGTTGGCAGATTTTTGTAAACATAGTTTTCAACTCATTTGGGTAAATATCTAGGAATGCAATTGCTAGATTTTATAATAAGCCTATATTTACCTTTGTAAGAAACTGCCAAACTATCTTCCAATGTGGTTGTACCATTTTGCATTTCCACCAGCAATGAATGAGAGTTGCTTCACATCCTCAGCAGCATTTGGTGTTGTCACCGTTTTGGATTTTAGCCATTCGAATAGGTATTTAGTGGTATCTCATTGTTGTTTTAATTTGCAGTTCCCTAATGACAAATGATGTTAACCATCTTTTTATATGCTTGTTTGTCAAGTGTGTATCTTCTTTGATGAGGTGTCTGTTCAGATCTTTTGCCCAGTTTTTGATTGGGTTGTTTGTTTTCTTGCTGTTGAGTTTTAAGAATTTTTTGGTGTATTTTGAATACAGATCCTTTATTAAAAGATGTGTTTTGCAAATATTTTCTCCTGGTCTGTGGCTTGTCTTTTCATTTTCTTAACATTGTCTTTTGCAGAACAGAAGTTTTAAATTTTAATCAAGTTTAACTTGTCAACTTTTTCTTTCATGGATTGCGCATTTGGTGTTGTATCTAAAAAGCCATTGTCAACCCAAGATACTCTAGATTTTCTCCTGCATTATCTTCTAGACGTTTTATAATTTTGCATTTTACATTTAGGTGTATGATCCATTTTGAATTAATTTCTGTGAAAAGTGGGAAGTCTGTGTCTAGATTCTTTTTTTTGCATGTGGATTTCTACTTGTTCTAGCACAATCTATTGAAAAAACTATCCTTTCTTCATTGAATTTCTTTTGCTATTTTATGATTAGTTGATCCCATTTGTGTGGGTCTATTTCAAGTTCTCTATTCAATCCCATTGTTGCTAAAACCACACTGTCTTGATCAGTAAGTTATGAAGTTGGGTAGTGTCAACCCTCTGATAGATATCTACGTAGCTATAGTTGTATTGATAAAGATAGATTGCATAGGCCACATCCTAGACCAGTTAAGTCAAAAATCTCTGCTGGGACTCCAGTATATTTATATGTTTTTAGAGCTTCCTAGGTGTATTAGTCCATTTTCTGTCATTTGTAGCAGAATATTTGAAACTGGGTAATTTATAAGAAACTGAAATTTATTTCTTATAGTTTTGGAGGCTTGCAGGTCCAACGTTGAGGACTTGGTGAGGGACTTCTTGGTGGGGACCCTCAGCAGAGTCCTGAGGTGGTGCAGAGCATCACATGGCGAGGAGACAAAAGCAGCCTCACTTGCTCTCTTCTTCTCTTTATAAAACCAACAGTCTGCTTGCATGATAGCCCATTAATCCGTGGATGGATTAATTCACTCGTGAGGGCAGCCCTCATGGTCCAATTACCTCTTAAAGGCTTCACCTTTCAAATTCCATAATGGGAATTAAGCTTCAACATGAGCTTTGGAAGGGACAAACATTTAAACCATATTACTGGGTGGTTCTGGTGCACAGGGAGAATTGAAAACCACAATACTAAACCATAGGACCATAAACTCCTTGAACTCACCATAAACTCTGTGGTCATATTCATTTATGTGTCAATCCCCAGTGGCTTGCTCAAGATTCTTAAATAGTTGTTGAATGAATGCACAATTGAAAGAACTGGGTGTATTTATGCTGGAGGAGAGAAAAAGTGGAGAGGCTTAATACATCAGCATACACACATACATGAAAGCCTTGAAAGTGACTTGCCCCGAAGGACGTTTTCTGAGTTTCTCCAGGAGCAGAATTGGAAGTTTATAGAGAGGCACCTGGTTGAATGTGAAGAAGCACTGTCTCATAGTGCTAGTGGAAAGTGAGCTCCCTGTTCCTGCACATGTTCCAGCAAAACCTGGAAGAACACCTATAAGAGGGTACAACATGGGGTAGGAAGTTGGGTAATATCAGATGCTATGATTATTGATCATTAGTTTCAAAGGCTGTATCGAAAGCAAAGGACTGGCTCTCATGCATCCTGTATAAATTGGGATGAAGGACAATGATGTGAGGTCAAAAGAACATCTTAAAACTGTTTCAAAGCTGAATTCTTGGAGTACAGCATATCCCCCAGTCTGTATTATTGATCTTTCTTTAATGTGGGAATCTTCAAGAAATTCCCTGTTTGGGACCTCTGTTAGTTGGAGCAGCACAAGTACTCAGGGCCTGGGAAGGCTGAACAATACCTAACAGAAGAGCTGGGTTCTTTCTTTCCTCATTTAGTTCTTCCCCTGCACTTTGTGCAGTTAGACTAATTTGGACACATTGAATGGAGGTATACATATCTGTCAGGGAAGATGGAGAAATACTACAAAGTTTTCTATAGCACACTTGTTTCATTCATCAGGCTTAATGCTGTTTACCTGCTCTTTGCCAGGTAGTAGAGAGAGGGATACAGTAGTTGATAGATGACTAATAGTGGTCTCATAAACAGCATGGCAGAGAGAAATAAATAAATAAGCATAGGCTTAGGAGTCAGACCAGGACCCAGATGATTCAGCCATTTGCCAGATGTGTGGTCTTGGGGAGGTCACTGCACTCTTTTACCCACCACATGATGTCTTACACCAAGTTCTGCTGCTTCATCTTCCAAGCTGTACTTTAGAATATGCATCTTTTCGTCTTATCTCACAATGTATTACTCTAAATCATTACCATCTTTAGTTGTCTGGAGCTCTGAAATAATCTACTAACTTGTTTTCTTATTTCTACCTTCTCCCCTCCAATTCTCCATTGAGAAGTCAGTGATCTTTTAAAAAAGTAAGTTAGATCTTGACATTCTCCTTAAAAATTTTCCAAGGACTTACCATTGCTAAAACTTAGAACGAAACCCAAACTCCTAATTATGACCTGGAAGAGACTGCATAATCTGACTCTTGTCATGTCTCTCAAGAGCAGGGCAAAGGCAGGGATGGTGCATGGCTAGGTAATACTGCCTCCTAGGGAGCATTTGGAAATGCGTGAGGGTGTTTTTATTGTCACAATTATTGGAAGGCGTTCCTGGCATTTAGGGTGTCTGGGCCAGGGTTGGTAAATGTTCTATAATGTGTTTAGCTCAAGTTCCATTACAATGCCTGATACGCAATAGGTGCTTAAGAAATACTTATTGTATGCGACCACATTCTCCCTAGACCTGAGTTTTGACATATGGGTATTGATGCAGTGCCTACTTCATAAAGTTGTTTTGAGGTAGACATATGTTTCTAAAGCACCTGGTACACAATAGCTCTTAATAAATGGTAGCTGCTGCTGAACCTTCTTTGCTTAGAAGCAGCTATAAGGGCCCACCTAGTGTTTTCCCTGGGGCATTAGAATTAGAACCTGACGCCTTTGGGGGGTTTGGGGAGAGAGGTGCATCTCTTTCCCTGAAGCCTATTCTGAGGGAATCCTAGTTCCCACTTGAGGAATCCTAGGAAAAGATTGCTCTATACTCAGCTGTAGAAACTAAGGCAGGGAGGAGATCTGGTTGTCTTCCTTGACTCTGGGGCTCACCCAGGATTCTGACAGGTCCTGGAAAGCCCGGCTCCAGTGAGAAATTACCTCCTGTTGGAGACTGGGTGAAGGAGAATAGCTAAGACAGTGGGAAGGTAGCCATCTCCCCGCCCTCAGCGCTTTGCAGAAAAGAGAAGCGCGCAGCTTCCTCCCGCCTCCTTCTCTCCCTTCTTCCCCCGCCCCTTCTGCTTCGCCAACCCCTATACGGCGCCTTCCCTGCCGCCCGCAGGGCGCGAGCGTGCTGCACCTCGGGAACTGGGCGGCTCTGCAGCTGGGAGCCTGGCCCAGCCGAACCGAGTGGAGCCAGTGGGTCTGGGGCCTTGCGTGAACCGGGCCCCGGGCTGGAGGAGGTGCGGCTGTGTGACAGAAACAATTGCCAGAGATGCCGGGGCCAGCTCCCCCCACCAGGTAATGCCGGCCCTGCCTGGGGCTCGCCCGGCTGAGCTGAGCCCTAGGGGATCTCCGCTGGCTTCCGGGGAATGGTGAAGTGGGGTTTGATAGATTTTGGGGGGCACATTACATTCCCTTTACCTTAAGGGACCCTAAATGAGAGAAGGGGCTGAGGGTTGAACCTCCAGATGAGCCCACCCAGGGCTAGGCCTGCATTGGAATCTGGGCTCTGGCCAGGGAAGGGTGTGAAAAGGAAGCTGCACTTTTGGGGAACTGCTGTGCTTCAGCAGCCCCACTCTTTTGCAAGCACTATTCTGCTTGGCAATCAGGGTGATGCTTTCCTATGCCTTGGCTTAGCTGCTGGCATGCTGGGACAATGGGGTCTTTTCACTATTAAGAGATAGAGTGAACTGGGAGATAGGAGACCTGGGGAACTGTTTCTGTTTGGGCAGCCTCTGTGTGCCTCAGTTTCCTTATTTGTGCAGTAAAGGGCGTGACATTCTGTTTGTAACTGATTTTCCCAGCCTGTCAAACAGTCTTTTGGAAAGGTGAGCTGGTTAAAGCCCTAGAATGGGCTACAGAGATGTTCCCCTCAACAGTGTAGGAGACAGAGGCAAAATTGGGAAGCCGACCTTGGTATCCTGTCTTTCAGCCAGCCCTTTGAATAACATCTTGCTGGTCTGTTTAGGACCCAGTGACTTCAGGGACAGGCAGAGGCTGAGAATGCTGATGCTTATTTTAGTGTTGTTGTGTAGGTTTGTTAGGTGTAGGGAGGTGTGGTTGGGAAGAAGTAGGTCAAGGTATGTTAATGATTTTTCTCTGAACTGGCTAATTTCTATCCTTAGGTATAAAATAGCTTTAAACTAAGCTGTTTTCTCTGGAACCCCCTCCTTACGCTGCTAAGTTAATGACAGACCTTGTGGCTGTGTAATGTCTTAATCACTATAATTCCTTCCTCCTTTATTACCTGGCAGCAAGAAACTCATATCAGACCTGATACTAACCTAGCTTGGTTATTGGACCTCCTTCCTCCCCCCAGTTTTTCCATGGCTTTTCTTCTTCCTGTCTTCACTTTTCCTCCTCCTTCCTTCTCTTGATCATTTTTCCTGCCTTGCTCCCTACCCATCTATTCTACCACCTCCACTTTCTCTTTTCTTCCTGTTCCCCTCATGCTTCTTTCCCCTTTCTTATCTCTCTCCCTCCATTGCCAGTTTTTCCTTCCTTCTCTTGGTTAGGTTTTCTTCTCTTTTTCTCTTAGAATTTTTGGTTAAGCTTTCTAATTATTAGTGAGTTACTGGTTTTTAGGGACCTTTGCATTGATTGTGAGGTCCAAACATTCTGTTTCCTACCTAAACTCCCTTGCTTCTAGCTTTCTCTTCCAAATTCTGTCTTCCCCACATGCTGTCTCTCTCCTTACTGACTCCATACCTTGCTGTGGTCCTGCCAGTAAGCTATTCTTTTTCCTGGTTTTGTCCCCCACCTTCTTCCTAGGGGGTGGGGGCAGCAAGTAGGCAGTAGGGAATAAGCAAGAAGGGCAGTGGGGGGCTTGAAGACTAGAGTGGGAGGAGAGCAAGAGTGTCAAGTAAGGCTGGGCAGAGGCTCTAATTTTCTTTAGTGATGTGTAACTGGGAGATTACCAAAGACTCTTTGGCAGCTCGGAGGCACTACTGACCTGGAGAAAAGGAAGTTGACCTGAGAGCCCAGGGAAGAAGAGGGGGAATAGCAGGGGTAGCATAGAGGGAGAGGAGGAGGAGGAGGCCTGGGGGAGAAGACAGGGTTCTGTTGAACAAGAGGGTGGCCTGGGCAAGATAGGGGTTATTTGGAGGTAGGGATCGGTGTGGAAGGAAAGATTATAGGTTAATTCTCTTCCTCTTCTGAAAGCTGGCTTTTTTGATTGGTTTATTTCTACTCAGCAAATTTTTCTTGACCATTGTTCCCAAAGTGGGGGAATTAGAGAGAAAGCAGAGATGAGAATGATCAGGTTGCTGTGTAACTGGCACTCACTGTCTAGACTAGAATGTGGAATGTGTATATATACAAAAAGCTTTGGATGTGGCATCCATCCATTATCAAACATTCTCTGAATCATCTACTCTATGATAGTTATGGTGCTAGGTGCTGGGGATGCAAAAAATGGAAATTGGACTTAGTTGCTGCTCTCAAATACAGGTCAAGAGTGTGGAACCTCATGTGGTAATTGTTGTAGCACATGGGGCTGTGATAATGCAGAGGAGGGAACTTTGATTCACCAAGTCAGTGGCAAAGCTGAGACCTAAACTCAAGTTTTCTCTAAAGGTGATATCGATTCTCTTACACTATTTCCTGACCCTGTGTGCACATATACTGTACAAAGAGTTTTCTTATATTCTTTTCTGCCTATCTTTGGGGCTAGACTATAGATACTGCTGATGTGGAAAAAAGAACAGTTAGTTCCATGTGGTAGATGACTGTGCCATAGCCAAACACTTGGAAGGGAAACAGACTCCAGACCACATGGGTGACTCGGTACTGAACTCCTTCTGAGTCATTTGATATCTTCCTCCCCTACTAGCCCCTCTATTTTCTTAAATTCAATTTCTGGTGGGGCTGTAGAGTCTAGAGACCACATGCAGCTAGGCTAGGCATTTTGCTTCATTGGCCTCTGTAAAATAGGGATTTAACACCTTGTAGGGTTGGCAAGGATCAGATGAAATAATGAATGTGTGAAAATGCTTTGTAAAGTGCTGTACAGATGTTAATGTGGTTGATCCTGAATGCATTTTTAAGCTGTGAAAAAATGCCCAGATGCTGTAACCTGAAAGCTTACAGTTGCTACTGACTAGTTTAAAACTGAGCCTCAATACTTAATGAATACTGGAAAACGAGGGAGATGGATAGAGAAGGCTTTAGGGACTGGTAATTGAGTCCCATGCTCAAAATGGAAGCTAAGAGGTGTACAAGAGTGCTTTGTTTAAGGTCATACAGATAGTAGGTGGCAAGTATAAAAGATATTTTTAGTGAGTCCTTGTGATATAGCAAAAAGATGGGGTAGGTTTAAAAGTAGATTGACTTCAGTTCAAATCCTGGTTCTATCACTTACTAGTTACCTGATTTTTAATCTCTAAGCTTCATATATAAAAGGGAAGATATTTATATCTACCTTGAAGGATTATTATAAAGTTTAAAAATAATTATATAAAAAAATTATAATTATATAGTAGGCACTTAATAGTTATACTTATTCTTATCCTGCAAAAATAAACTCTGAAGTCACCTTCTCAGGAAAGTACTCCCTATTAGGCTATTATGGGCCCTTCTGTATTCATGCAGCATATGTGTGCTTCCTCTCACCACTCAATAGAGGCATTTACCATACTGTATGTTATTATAGTTTATATTTGCCTCTCCCATTAGTCTGAGTCTTTTGAGGGCAGAGACAGGGTCTAGTAAATCTTAGTGCCTACTGAGTACCTATTCTTTCCAAGCCTTATATAATTGCTAGGTATTCATTGGTAAACAGAACAGACTTAGTTGCTCTGTTGTGAAGCTTATTGAGGGAGATGTATAATAAGTAAAAATGTGTAATTAGAACTCATAATAAATGTGAAAACCAAGAGTTCCATTTGGTCCTGTTAGGTTTGAGGTACTGATAAGAAATGTAGGTGGAGTTGTCTGATTATTAGTTATTAGTCTGAAAGAGAGCTGTTTGGTATAGAAATAGAAACTTGGGCATCAACTTACTCATGGTATGCAAAGCCACAGGAATAGATGAGATCATCTTGGGGCAAGTGTAGTGTATGAGGTTCCAGGCATTGGACATGTGGAAGATAGGTGTCTGCAAAGGCGATAGGGGTAGACAGAAAGATACAGAGAAAGTGAGTGTGCTTCCTCAGAAGCCAAGAAAATAGAGTATTTGAGAGAAGGGAATGCTGCTGAGAGTTTGAGAGAGGTAAGGACAGAAAAGTGACCATTTGATTTGGGAAGATGGAGATGATTGGCAATCTTGACAAGACTACTTTTGGTGAAATGGTAGTGTTAGTTGACAAACAGAAGGGGGGGAAGTAGAGATAGTTTTACTTGACTGTTCTTTTGAGAAACTTTGCTATGAAGGGGAACAAATAAATAAGTGGTGTTTGGAGGAGGGTATGGATGTCAAGGGAGGGATGTGTGTGTGTGTGTGTGTGTGTGTGTGTCTGTCTGTCTGTCTTTGAATAGGAGACACTACAGCATGTTTATATTCACCCAGTATTTCTCAGGTCGGGCCGAATATTAGAGGTCACCTTGACTTTTCCTTTTTTCTCATATGCTACATCCAATCTCTAAGCCATTTCTCTCTACCTTCAAAATGTATCTATCTTTGAAATGCTTTTCTATACCTACTGCCAATCACATAAGCCACCATCAGTTTTCACCTGGATTATCATAATAATTTCTTAATAGTTTTTACACTTCTCCTTTGCTCCCCTGCAGTCTGTTGTCCTCTGCAGCCAGAGTTTATTTAAAAATCACTGCTGCAGATGCTTCAGTGTCTTCCCATACTTGCTACAAAATCCAAAGTTATTATTGCAGCCTATAAGGCCCTGCACAATTTGACCTCTGGCTACATCTCTAATCTCAGTCTCATCACATTTCTTCCTGTTTACTCAACTTTAGTCTCTTTGGCCTTTTGCTATTCTATGTTCGCAGTATATTCTCACCTAGGCATATGTGCTTACTGCTCCTTCCGGTTAAGATGCTTTTTTTGCAGATATTACAGTGATTTGCTATTTTATTTCATTCAGCTCTTAAGTGTCTCTTTCTCTGAGAAGCCTGTCCTGATTACCTTATTTTATGTACCATTCCCCCTACCCCTGCCAATATTCACACATACATATAGGGTTGACATTGTGTATTTACTTGCTTATTTCTTTGTCTGTTTCTCTTACTAGACTATGAATGAACCCCATGAGCACAGGGACATTGTCTTGTTCAACTAGGTTAGTACTGGTACCTTATAGATACTCAATAAATATTTGTTGAATGTCTGAATATATTCAACA